TATATTTACATCGGATGACTAGTAATGCTACAAATATAGCTTTATTCTCTGCTATATATTATGACTTTTTTGGGATGGTTGTATTATTGTAAAATAACATTTCAGAAAAAATGAACTCCATCCGTAATTAACTTGATATCCTGGTGTTATGTTGTTTTTTTTTTAAATATTGAGAACGCCTCATGACAAACCTACAATGTATATGTAGGGTTTACTGTTTTACTCTTTATCACACTTTCGTCCCTCTTTCGTCCTTAATAATTTTGTCCACGTGATAAAGATGTTGTTCACATGCTCATATCAGCGCCCTGGCGACTAAACAGTTTTAGTCAGTCCGAGTCAATATAACACCAGTCGAGGCTGATAACTAATTATCGGCCTGGGTCGATATTACGTCATCGGGATCACTTATGACATCATTGGACGCTTCTGAAGATAAAAGCAGACAATTGTTGGCAGTTCGCGAACAACTGAAAAATAGTATTCATGAGCTAGACGAAATGATCAAAGAGGAAGAAATGACTAGGTTTATAGGAAATGTGAAGAAACACAAAATGTAAAACAAAATCAGACCTGGGGTACAGTATCATCGCTAGCAGTAGATAACGAAGGTAGGTTAATATATTTATGCTTACAGAAAATAAATGGGTCAGAGTATGCACCAAAAAAACAAAAGGTATTAATAGCAATAATCTGTATGTATTGACAGACGAGGTTTTGGAGAATTAGTATGTAGTTAACATTTGATCGTATCTTGGATCCAAATATTTGCGGGACGTATCTGCTGCTAAAATGAATGAGTTGGAGACAAGTTTGGGGAAAGAAACAAGATCTTGGACCCTCCGTCTGTTTTTCACGGTTTCCATCGTATAGCTTTCCCCCGTCAGATTTGCACTAAATTTAGTATATTTTGAATGTTCTTTATATGAATAAGATCTCTGATGAGTTCGATATTGGCACAAAAAAATCGGCCATTGTTAACGGGACTTTAAGATCCCTAACACACACAATGCATTTTTTTCCATTTCAATCAAATGAGTTTTAATTTTTGCCGTAGGATTTGAATCAAATTTGGTGTATTGTTTTATGTCAAGAAGCATTTTGATATTGGTATAAATCCGTCACAAACTGCCAGAGTTACGAGATTTTGGTAATGAAATAATAGTAGGAAATTTAAACGCGATAAAAACAAGTCTCCCACTTCGTTTGGTGGACTTAAATGTATGTTTTAGTTTCATCTCGCTTTTCTTAATATGTAGGGTATGTCACATGGTCGCGAAACCAATCAGTATCTTATACCATTTAAGAAAATGCTTTCTTATTTAGGATATTTCAGGAATGACTTCCCCTCGGAGCCATAGTTTGTATTAAGCATGTTTTATTTATGATATCTTTATTTATAATTACTTATATACGTAGTTAAGTGGGTATTTTTTCCTCAATAACTACAAGCACGGACTTCGATACAGAGAAAGAAAATTAAATGAAACATTTTCTTTGAAATGAGGTCGACCCAGTCATGTGTATGATAAAGTGTTGGTTAGTATTCTTAAAGTGAATAAACTTAATGAAAATAATGAAGTTTCAAAACTACTGTAAACAGTGGGGATTTCCCTTTAGTCGAGCGGTAGAGTGTCCAGCTAGACCGGAAGGTCGCTAGTTCGAATCCCAGTGGTTGTAGTGTAATTTCATTACTTCATCCTATTGTAATTGGTGAGTGCAATCAACTGTTGTTTCAAGTAAGTGACATTGAGGTATATAATGAAGTTATGAATGTTACTTACCATCTTTATGAATTATGATAAAGTAAATATAGAAAATATGTCGCGTGTTCCAGATAATATACAAAATGGTATTGTTAATGTCTTAAATTACCACCATCTACCAGTCCCGTAAACCAATCGATTTTGTAGTTTTCTATGTAATTTCAACTCTCGGAGAAATGTTTAAAGATACTGACGTATTTAACTTTATCTTGAATAAAGCATGCTTAACTGTATTAACCTTAAAACTACTGGGACAAACGCTGATAACTAAATAAGATTCAGAAAGAGTGACAAAGTTAGTAATTGTTCAAGAGTTATCTCTCTTGGCGCTCCCAGTTACCCGGTGGCTCGGAGTTATTCCATGACAAATGAACGTACCAGTACCGGATGATGGAAAAATTTTCCTGCTAAACATAAGATAGTGATTCAATACGGTGACAGAATGCATTATATTTGAATCCATGCTGAATATCATGACATTTCCGGTTAGGTGTCAGTGTACCGACCCTGTTGTTTAGGTTATCTGAGTCTAAGGGTCCGGATGAATTCTTATTAATAACCAAATCAAAGTACTGAAAGTACTGAGAGGCTAAACGTATTGAAAAAAATGTTCACAAATAACCGCAAAGCTATATTACTTTCCCCTTACTCCTACACTTTGGAATGGAAAAATTACTAAAATAAGAGAACCAGAGGCCATTTTTCTTAATTTTAAGCGATTTTATATCTTCTTTGAATCTCATTTCAAATTTGACGACAATAATGTGAACAAAACAAAATAGGTAAAAAAATAACAAAATACACACAGCCATATATTTATCACCAAAAGCCAAATGATAAATAGCTCTATGATGTAGTTTACTAAATAAAACCTTTGAAATACCCAAGATGTTGCAATTACTGTCCTATCAATATGAGGATTTAGACAAATCGAAAGGACTTTATACCTACTTCTTTATTTCGAATGTATTGCAAAGTAATAGTCCTTACTTATTATAATAATATTTGTAGTTGAGGAAAGTAGATAAGGTGTACACAGCATTTCAGATAGATAAAAGTGTAAGTAATTACATTAAATATATTTACATGCCTATCTTCCTTGAAGTATCATGGCAAAGACATAGTTCTTTGAGATTAAACCAGACTTGTGTATATATATATATACAATATTTTCACTATAGCTACTACTATTTCTGATCTCCAATGCATTAGATAATATTTTGTTTTTTTTTATACGCGCTTTGTTTGAAGGAATATTTTCATTTCAAGGAACTTTGATACATATTAACAAACCTTGAGAAAACAGCACAATCAACCTTCATCAAACAAAACTAAAAGACAAAAAATATAAGTTATAACAGTCAACATCATGATCAGTACAGTATTTAGATATATCATTCATAAATCATGAGAACCAAATGTACCTTGCCTACGAAGCGCAAACTTTTTATCTACAAAAACTTGAAAAAGTGTCATGGCGGTGGGTGTGAAAATCCTGAAAAAGTGTCATATCGGCGGGTGTGCGCGTAGGACGAACAGTCCAATTTTGTGACGTCTAATGAGGTAAAGTAATGTTATATATTAAGACGATCTTGCCACAACGTCAAGGATTAAACCAAAATTGATGTTCTGTTTGTAAGTTTTGTAAGCCCCCAGACTAGCTTCTTATCATGGCGCCAACTCGCACGTACAGTGTTCTGTATGCTTACATCATGTCGAGAATTCCATAAAATATATTGTTAAAAATTTATTTTTTTAAATATATAATAATCGTATTGTTATTAAAAAAATTAACTAATTTTGGATGCTTTTAAAATAGCGATTTGAAAAATCGCGGCATTATTTACGCAGAAAATTGCCGCTAGAGGGCTCTAAATCTTTTCGATATTTCAGCCAATGAGAAGGCCAGGATAGGTAAATTTTGTCTGAGAAGTCGTCGCAATAGGCTGTGCGTACTGAGTACGTTTAGCCTAAAAACCCAGGGTGGTGATATTGGGGGTTTAGCACGATGGGTTGAAGGGTTACCACATATGCTGATATGAATGACTTTGACCCACTTTCAAGGTTACAGGGGTCAAATATATTAGCAAGGCCAATGGGCTTGATATTGGGCCTGTAGCATGCTTTCTCTAGCAGCAATTTGTCCGGAGTAATGACGTTTGTGTAGTTCTTGTATAAATAATATGTTAGCTGTTGTTGGGTAATCTATTTTAATCTTATTTGGCCTCTTTCATACATAGTTCTTTATAGTCAGATGACCGTTAAGGCCTGTGTGCATTTTGTTATTTAGCAAATATCTCACTCTGAATAGGTATACCCTTTCCATTATTTTCCACGAGACCATGCTAGGTAGTGTAGGCGATATGTCCCGCCTATAAGTTTTAGACATGTTGTGAATGGCGTTTCTCTTTCGTGTTGGTTGGTTCAATCGTTTAATCGTCATGATTTCTATGTTATTGATGGAGGGTGTCCTGGTTGCTGTTGTCATTGTAAAACAAATTAAAACAAAATATTTCATAATTACACATCATCAGGTAAGCGCAACTTGATAACGAGTTGATTTCTGTGAGCTTATTATTCTATTTCTAGTCTAACTAGTCTAACACCCGTTAACTGGATTTCCCGCTTTCCTAAATAACCATTCGGCAGTGATTGATCGTGTCCCATTTACATCCGGGGTCCCACAGGGCACGGTCCTCAGACCTATTATTGAGCACATGGACAATGTATTTCTGTATCATCATCAGCATCATCATTATTATGTGCTCACGTATCAAATAAATTCCTATCCATTCGCTCAAACACATTTATATGGAGTAGCAGTGTAAATACAACATATAGAACATTTAACATGTCCTATCTTGAAACCATTCTAAATACACAAACACTCCTAAACACAATACATTTTTCACACATCTTCACTCACACTGCACATACATACATACATACCTTACCTACCCCCCCCCCCCTCACACACACACACACACACACACACACACACACACACACACACACACACACACACACACACACACACACACACAGAGAGAGAGAGAGAGAGAGAGAGAGAGAGAGAGAGAGAGAGAGAGTTGCGAGGCGTGTTCCATTCAGCTAGCTCGACGCCCAGGGCTTGTGATTTTCAGGCCAAAATTATAATTAAAAGATTAATTAAAATGCTGTGTCCAATAAAATTAATTCATTCTTTAATCTTTTCAGGTGTGAGAGATATAAGAAATGGCATTTGTAACTGAAGAAGCTGTAGCCGCCCACAACGAATTGGCATTTAAACTCCAGCAAGAGTTAAGCGACTTAGAGATAAACCAATTGAAGAATCTATTCAAAGATTGTCCACTATCTCAACGGCAGATTACAAACATCAAAGATATAAATGACCTATTTGTACACCTTCGTGATGCTGTGAAGATTTCCATAGGCGATTATGATCATTTAACATTAAAATTAAGATTGATAAAGCCAAGAATGGCTGATTATGTGGCAGAACAGGAAAAACATATCCAGGGTATTCTGAATAGAGGTGAGAATTGACAATAATAATGAACAGAATTAGTTGCTGGCAGTGTGATGTTATATTGGGTCTGATGTATAGAAGCAGTGTTGATATGATGTATCACAATTATTGTCCTGGTTTCTGGTTAAGCTTATTACTGTGTAGAATCATTTTCAATACTGTTCATTCCATATTTTGTATTTAGTTACAAACCTCCTTGGGGAGGAGGATTCAGTTTTACACAAACTAACCATGATTCCCGGTTCTTAGGGCTTGGGGAACAGACCTTAATATTGGGGAAATAGCAATTATTTGAAATATTATATCTGCTGTAGGTATGTTATGATTCTGTCTCGGTTTGGTCTGAATCAGCCTTGGATGAAGATTTTTTTTTGTCAATTTTTGGGAGAAATTAAGGAAAAATAGAATTTTGTTTAATCTGATCAGTCAGCCATATCAAAGCGTGTTGTCTTTAGGGTAGAGAAAAATATTTAAACCACTAGTTATTTCATATTAATTAATAACTGACCTGTGTATTAAGGATATTGACTGACCTGTGTATTAAGGATATTGACTGACCTGTGTATTAAGGATATTGACTGACCTGTGTATTAAGGATAATTCCTGACCTCTGTATTAAGGATATTGACTGACCTGTGTATTAAGGATATTGACTGACCTGTGTATTAAGGATATTGACTGACCTGTGTATTAAGGATATTGACTGACCTGTGTATTAAGGATATTGACTGACCTGTGTATTAAGGATATTGACTGACCTGTGTATTAAGGATATTGACTGACCTGTGTATTAAGGATATTGACTGACGTGTGTATTAAGGATATTGACTGACCTGTGTATTATGATATTGAATGACCTGTGTATTAAGGATATTGACTGACGTGTGTATTAAGGATATTGACTGACCTGTGTATTAAGGATATTGACTGACCTGTGTATTAAGGATATTGACTGACCTGTGTATTAAGGATATTGACTGACCTGTGTATTAAGGATATTGTCTGACCTGTGTATTAAGGAATGACTGACCACTGTAATTGCCTGACCTGTGTATTAAGGATATTGACTGACCTGTGTATTAAGGATATTGACTGACCTGTGTATTAAGGATATTGACTGACCTGTGTATTAAGGATATTGACTGACCTGTGTATTAAGGATATTGACTGACCTGTGTATTAAGGATATTGACTGACCTGTGTATTAAGGATATTGACTGACCTGTGTATTAAGGATATTGACTGACCTGTGTATTAAGGATATTGTCTGACCTGTGTATTAAGGATATTGACTGACCTGTATATTAAGGATATTGACTGACCTGTGTATTAAGGATATTGACTGACCTGTGTATTAAGGATATTGACTGACCTGTGTATTAAGGATATTGACTGACCTGTGTATTAAGGATATTGACTGACCTGTGTATTAAGGATATTGACTGACCTGTATATTAAGGATATTGACTGACCTGTGTATTAAGGATATTGACTGACCTGTGTATTAAGGATATTGACTGACCTGTGTATTAAGGATATTGACTGACCTTTGTATTAAGGATATTGACTGACCTTTGTATTAAGGATATTGTATTAAGGACACTGACTGACCTTTGTATTAAGGATATTGACTGACCTGTGTATTAAGGATATTGACTGACCTGTGTATTAAGGATATTGACTGACCTGTATATTAAGGATATTGACTGACCTGTGTATTAAGGATATTGACTGACCTGTGTATTAAGGATATTGACTGACCTGTGTATTAAGGATATTGACTGACCTGTGTATTAAGGATATTGACTGACCTGTGTATTAAGGATATTGACTGACCTGTGTATTAAGGATATTGCCTGACCTGTGTATTAAGGATATTGACTGACCTGTGTATTAAGGATATTGGATGATAGATGTCCTTGTTGTATTAGTATGTAGTATAAGTGTAATATAAACACAAGTACAGCTAAGTTGTTTGAGTAGTATATATGAATTGTGCACACTGATAAAGACTGGTTGTGAGGATAGCAAATATGAAATGTACCCACAAATCAGAAATAATGTGCTTAACATGTGAAATATACACATGAGTACAGGTTAGTTGTGTGAGTATGTAGTTCATGTGAAATGTACACATAGGTACAAGTTAGTTATGTGAGTATGTGTAGTACATGTGAAATGTACACATGAGTACAAGTTAGTTGTGTGAGTAGTACATGTGAGTACACAAGAAGCTACTTTATGTCATGTGGAGTTGTGCAGCTAGACAGGTACTTGGTCAGGGAACTACATACATGAACATGGATGACTACTTAAAAGTTGATATATCTGTGTAGACTTTTAGGATTATTTTTACAAAATGAATGATATTAGAATTGGTTTGACTAATTAAATGCTTGTATGTTCTTTCAGATGATATGTCTGCAGCCACAGCTTCAACAGTCAGCAAAAGTCACACCATTGGCAAGTTTAATAGCAACATGCACACAGCTGTTATAATAATATTGAACGGTTCTTTTCTGAATATGATAAACAACCATAATGAAGTGCAGTGTTATCAAAGATTTTAATAGTCAGAGTAGGTTCTAGGAATCTAAGTCAATAGTCATATTAATTGTTAACTGACCATCTGATGATAGTACACTCCTCAAAAGCCTTTTCTACTATATAATTTGCTGGTCTAAAGTAGTACCTGTATTAAGGAGTTCATATTGTGTCTGTCTGTTTCTCAAATTTCATATCTAGGTGCTCTTGGTCCCTTCTATTGCATTGTGGAATTTCGGAACGATAAAAATGGCTAAATGATGGTTATCTTGCATGTTGATACTTATAATATTTGTTATTACTATTTCTTGAGAAGCACTTAAGAACTGGATGGATCAGTTTCAAATTTTATTTGTAAGCTGTCATTTGGTCACCATCTTGCCTTTAACAGATCCATAAAATTATTATCACTACCATATCCTCAGATTTAATAAAGGAAAGATAAGAACAAATAAGAAGGAAGGAAAGAAAAATGCAACTTTTAAAGACTAAATATCATAAAAAAAAATCATACTTATTAATAATTCAGGTGTTTTAAATTCTGACTACTTCTAAATTTATGAATCTTTATTTTACAGAAATCCATGCTGACTTAAGACCTTTAAGTCCTTTGATAGGTGAGTCGCATCAACTTGACTAGGCACGATGTGAGAAAAGTTACAGCAGATTCCTCAACACCAATATCACAACAACATGCATCATCAATGGAATTATTTGGACACCAAACTATTAAGTTATATTTCTGTTCACAAACGCAAATATCTCAGTTCAGTTACTCAGATTTATCCCTATTATAACTAACATCAAAGTCTGCTCGCCTTTCCTATATGTCCTGACAATACACACATTAAATGGGTCGTATGGTGAAAGGCATAATTCAATATAAAATAAATTCCAATATAATATCTTGGACTTTGGTAATCTAATACAGGAAAAAGAAATGCTGTGTAGAATGTATGTTCATTCAAACTGCATTTAAAAGTTATATCTTAACGTATTTAAAGTACCGTATACTAATAAAAGTTTTTAGTTTTTTTCTTATATATATCCTTTCTTCATTTTCTTACAGTTCAAACTATAAACAGGATTAAAACAGAAAAAGAGGAGAAAAAGTTCATGGAGACCAAAGCTTTTCATGACGCACAAGAGAAACTCAGAAAGAACAGAGTCATAATGATCAAGGGTAACACAGGAGACGGCAAGACTTCGACTGCCATTCAACTCATGGACTGGCTGATCAAGGAGCAGCAATGCAGACAACCTCTTCAGCTTCATGAAATCAAGAAATTAGATAAATTGTCTCCAGACTCGAATCTGGTTACTTTTATTGATGATATTTTTGGAGAGAAAAATGTTAGAAATACGGATGTAGATGAGTGGACCAAAAGAATTAATAATGTAAAAACATTGTTTGTAGATCAACAAATCAAGCACAATTTTTTGCTTGTTACTATTCGTAATGAAATATATAATGTTTTGAAAAAGCGGTCTTTGGAACCAGTTTTTACCAAAGATAACATTATTGACCTGAGTTCTGACACATACAGGATTTTAGAGGAAAGAAAAGAACTTCTAAAAAAATATCTACCAAACAATTTTGAATGGGAAGAGAAAGAAATAGAAAATATTGTGAAATCTGCTTCAAGTATTGGCTTTCCTCAATGCTGCTACATTTTCTATAACTCTGTGGAATTGCAGGCAAAAGGCGGGAATTTTTTTTGAGAAACCTTTTAAATTTTTGAATGAAGCATTGTCAAGATTACCAGAATGTTGTGCCATTTTGTTTCTTTTCCTCAATGGAGGGAAGATAAAAGTTAAAGATCTAGACCCAAACAGTGATAAAATCAACAAAACATTGTTAGATGAATCATTTGATATTAATCTGATTGATGGTGAGGAGGACAGAACCTCATTGACTTACAAGAAAAAAGTAGGATTTGTGAAAGAAAGTTTAGACAGATTGCTAGGATTTTTAGTGGTTAAGGAGAAACATTGGTCTGGTTATGATGTATACAGATTTAATCATGATTCTGTACATGTCACAGTAGCTCGTTTGTATTGGAACAAAACACCAGTTGGTTATATGCAGAATTGTCCAGTGAAATCCCTCTGTTATCTCACAACCTCAAAAACATCCTCAGACATGATTGTCAAATCATCAGATCATTATACATGTCTGTGTGAACGTCTGCTCCGAGAGTTGGAGTGGGAGGTGAATTACGATGAAATTGATTTTCTGTATCGCAGAAATGTTATTAAGTCTCTAGATGTGTGGAAAGATCCTGTATTTGTTGTTAGATTTGTTCAGTTCTTGAATAAGAGAAAAATTGATAAACGTGCTGTGTTAAATAAGGCATGTAAATACGGTGTAAAAGAATGTGGTTTATATCTTCTGAGTGTGGAAGTCAAACCGGACAATGACACAGACTGGTGGTCATTGATAACAGGAGGTTATCGTGGTAAGGGAGATGTGGATGTACTTAAGAAAGTTGTTAAATACCTGAATGATAAGATGAAACATCGCTTGTTAAATATAGCATGTGAATCTGGTTCAACAGAATGTGGTTTATATCTTCTGAGTGTGGGAGTCAAACCTGACAATGACACAGACTTGTGGTCATTGATTACAGGAGGTTATTGTGGTAAGGGAGATGTGAATGTACTTAAGGAAGTTGTTAAATACCTGAATGATGAGAAGAAACATCGCTTGTTAAATGATGCATGTGAATCTGGTTCAACAGAATGTGGTTTATATCTTCTGAGTGTGGGAGCCAAACCTGACAATGACACACATTGGTGGTCATTGATTACAGGAGGTGATGAGTGGGATAAGGGAGATGTGGATGTACTTAAGGAAGTTGTTAAATACCTGAATGATGAGAAGAAACATCGCTTGTTAAATATAGCATGTCGTACTGGTTCAACAGAATGTGTTTTATATCTTCTGAGTATGGGAGCCAAACCTGACAATGACACACACTGGTGGTCATTGATTACAGGAGGTGATATTGCGGAAAATGTGGATGTACTTAAGAAACTTGTTAAATACCTGAATGATGAGATGAAACATCGCTTGTTAAATGATGCATGTAAATATAGTTCATCAGAATGTGTTTTATATCTTCTGAGTGTGGGAGTCAAACCGGACAATGAAACACTGTTCCGTGTGGCGGATGGAGGGAGTGCGGAATTGTTACGTAAACTACTGCAGTATGACGTCACTATAACAGCGAAGGATGGGTACGACAATTACAATGTCTTACATAAAGCGTGTGAGTCGGGGAATGAAGAGATGGTGACTGAGTTGTGTGATAAGTATCCAGACTTGGTACGTGACACTGATAAGTATGGACGAACACCACTCCATGTCGCGACAGGAATCTTTAGAGGAAACTTATCTGTGTTCCAGACAGTGGAGAGAACTATACTTCAAACCTTGTATAAACAGTGTGGGACAGACGGAAATGTTGTACACAGGGATTGTGTGTGGGGTCAGCACATGTCTCACTTAGTAGACAATAAAGGACGGACTGTATTACATGAGAGTTGTTGGAGGGGAAACAAGGAGCTTTGTGTCTATTTATGTGATAAATATCCATCACTGCTCACAGCTGTAGACAATGAAGGACAGACTGTATTACATTGGAGTTGTGAGGAAGGCAACAAGGATATTTGTGTCTATTTATGTGAGAAGTATCCATCACTGATCACAGCGGTAGACAAACGTGGCCGTCATTGTCTACATTACATCGCTGAGTCGTACAAACCAGATGTAGACTTGTTCACGGAGTGCGAGACTTACGTCAAACGACACATAGAGTCAACAGGAGGTAAGTATGACATCACAACCATACTTGACGGGGAGGGGAAATCTGTTTTAGAATTGGTAAAGCAAAAGAAAGAGAGATACAGTTGGAAAGACAACCGTTTGTATGATCATCTTATCAAAGTGTTCCGTAAATAAACATGCAGGTATTTTATCTATGAAACGTCAGCTGATAATAAGTACAAACCATTGATATCCTTCCTGTTCCCAGTCCAGGTGATGCTGAGTTGTTTTTATGAGGGAAATCAGTCGATAATGATGATTTTCCTGTACGAGTTTAAAGATCGACTTCGCGCTGCGGTAAAATAGGCAGTCGGCGTCTTCGACCAGGTTTAAGTGATTGATGTCAATTTCAGTGGCTCCGGTCAGGTTTAACCATCAGGGGTGTTCAGGAATTACTAAATTTGTGGTGTTATATGTTGTTTTTAATTAGAAAAGTGAACTATTTTGTGTTCTAGAATAAAGAGCTATTTGGAATATTTCGCTATGATGACTCTTTAACAATGAGCAACGTGATAAATCTGTGATAAATCAAGCCTGGCCTGTGAAAAAAAAATCGCGTTATCTAGAAAATTGATTTAACCATGAGTACTCTAAGAGAAAGATATAATAGTTTGATTTTTTTTTTGAGACCCAAATAACAAAACAAACAGAGTCGGTGATTATTTTAATGTGTTACCAATAAACACTTAATCATTAACCTGAGGAAGATTTTTAGGACTTGGCTTCATTTCTGATAAATTCTTCTCTTGGAAATACTTTTTTAGAACTTCATTAATTGAATACAAATATTTTCAGGTACACAAATCAAAATTATTTTAAAGATCAAACATTAAATTCTCTTGTTGTTCAATTAATTAAAAAATCTTTTTTTTGTTGTAGAAATGATGTCTTTTTCCTCAAGTGAATAAATGAAAAGTTATAATCAGATAGCCAATGAACTGTTCAGCAGATATTGCATGTTTGTTTTATTTAGTTTAAAGAAAAGAACTTGAGGTTGCTTATTTACTCGTGACTCCTGTATGTGTTTAGGAATTATTTTGTAAATAATAATTATTCATATTTTGAACAAACAATCTAAGGCCGCTTTATTTGATAAAATATGTCTTATTGATGCAAAACTGATTTAAATAGGTTGTTTATATTATAGAGTACGTAAACATATGTTAATGTTTGTATAAAAAATCTATTGTTGTAAACTGTTTGAGATTATATTACATGTGTAGGCGTTTTTACTGGGACATTAGATAATACATTTTATCTATATGTTGATGATTTGGTTGTATCATTTGATAATTTTCTGTTCTATAGACAGAACTTGCCAATTAGTATGAAAATTATATTAAAATCATCTGTGTATAGTACTCTACAAGTTAGAATTGTGTGTAGGTGATATCTATTGTCTCAGGGCTCCAGTACTTTTCAGGGAAGGAACTTTCCCCTGGTACATTTCTACCGTGCAATTGTTATAATACACCTGTAAGTGATATCCATTGTCTCAAGGCTCCAGTACTTTTCAGGGATGGAACTTCCTCTGGTACATCTCTACAGTACAACTGTTATAATACACCTGTAAGTGATATCCTTTGTCCCAGGTATCTGTTACTATATATAGACTTCTACCTATTTTATACCTAATCTTGCTGTAATGCATCCTTATACTGTAATTATACAAAACGAGCATTCATCAGATTGCTACACACTTGTTATATGGAGACGAATAGTGGATTATGGTGTCAAAAATACATTTTCAAAAATTTTGCTAAATCTCTATGAAAGTGATTATGCTGAGGGTCTTTATCATTTCTAACATCCACAAGTCCCTTAACTGACACTTTTCAAACAAATATTCCTCTCTTGACACAGTTTTCTTTTCCATTATTGTCAAGTAACACAATGTGGTGAGAATTGTTTGTTTGTTGATGTATATGATATGTGAAATGTAATTTATATGAATACATAATGAAACAGGGGAGGTAACTTCTCGATTACTGGAAAATTAATGACTTTTATACAGAAAGTACAAATACCAAGATGTTTTCTGTGGCAGAATGCATTGTTCTTCAATACCGTTATGTTTTTGAAGGAATGTGTATACAAACTTAAATATTATTGTTTTATGTTAATATATAACAATATTATACAGAAAACCATTTCATATTTTGGATTGAGAAATAAAGTGTGGTAGGAAAATGCAATTGTTAACCCCTATTGAAAGGGGTGCTGTCAGTTTATGATGAAGGATCCACTGGTCACTCAACTGTTACCTTCTTCAAGAAAACTAAACAACTGGATACTGATATTTGCCTAGGAGGTACCTGAGATGAAGTACCACATATGAATGACCTTGTCCTGCTTTCAAAATAACCAGGGTTAAAACATTTTAACATAAAAGTGTGAAAATCTACTCTTTTTAAATTAAAGAAGAATAGATACCGATATTTGATCAGGAGGTTCCACGAGTTACTTCAAAAACTTTTCTCATAAGTTATCTCGACCAATTTTCCAGGTCACTGAGGTCAAATAGAACATCTATGAATCTCAAATTCAAGACGACAATGTGTCCTGGTAAAGTATTCCAGCAGATAGTATCTAGAATGAAGCGCTATCAAGTTTTATAATACAAATGACTTTGACACACTTTTCAAGGTCACCGAGGTCAAATATGAAATATTTATAAGAATCATTCTTTTAAGTTGCAGAAAACCCAGAGTCCTAGTATTTGACAAGTAAACACCTATAGCAGAGTACCCTAAATTTCCCCATGATAATTGACCTTAAGCTTTCCTCAAGGTCATCGGGGTAAAATATGTAAAAAATTGGTGAGTATGGTCATGGCAAATTACATATGACCCAGGGTAAAGATGTTTAGAAGTAAATGCCAGTGGTGGAGTGCTATAAATTTTCTTCCTATAAACGACTTTGGCCTACCTTTTTGTTGCAAATAAGGTAAAAATCAAAAGTAGTCTAATTAAAGATTCAAAGATGTTTTTTGTATTGCTCAGACATTAAGTTTTTGAAATGAAAATTTTAAGACCTAGTGAGCGCACGGTTTTTGAATAATAACCTATTGAAAATTAACTAAGCAGTTTCTCTCTGTTAATAACATACGTCTTTCCAGTCGATATAAAGAGTTTATTTGAAAGACCCAGGTACTTTAAGCATAAATTTCTGAAAGGAAATGATGTAGCAAATCCAGTTATCATTAATCCTGTACATTTCATATTATTTTTGTTACTGTGTTTAAAGATTGAAATTGGACACCGTTATGAACAATATTTTGTCATTATAATTCCACAATACATTTTTCTTTGCACTATGAAAAATAATATGAATTATTAGTTTGTTGTTTCATTAAAGTCTACATTTTCTCAAATTAAACATATACACTTTACTGTTCATAACCAAGACACTAAGCATCCTTCTATCAAGCAACAACTTTGTTATATTAGCTTTCATTTATATTTCTGGTGTTCTTCATTTCTTTCTAATGTGCTTGAAGGCACACAACATCATCTTGGTCATTTAGCAATTTTTTTTTGTCCTGGGCTCAGCTGTATTAAACAAGTTTAAATTTTTAAAAATGTGTTCCAAGATATCAAGTTTCATTTCTCTTTCTTACTTATTTTTGACTAAAAATAAATCTTAAGATCTCAATTAAGGTATCCTAAATATCGATTGTTTTATAGAAATACAGCAAGTTTGCGGGATGGGAAACTTAATGTTTTGTTCGGAAAAATCATTTTGTCCTCTGCTGCACCTTTGGTAGTAGAGTGTGACCATGACAGAAAGACAGAAGAAATAGATAGATGTGCAAGCAACATATCAACCATTTTTGAGAATACATATGTACTGAGAATATTACTTTTAACTTAGTAAAATAGCAAAAAGAGACTTACATGCTAGCATCAAGCATTTACAAGATGCCACTGATGTTAAATATGTCAAGTGGAGAACACGTCAAACTTGGACTCGATAATGATCCGCTAATCAAATCAAATGAGCTACAACAGATATACCGGTATGTGAAAAGTTTACTGACATCTGTTGATGTATTTACATGCATCAAATGAACCATTATCAAGACTCGTTTACTCATCAGGAATGAATACAATTTTAAGTTTAAAAATCATTTATTTTGAATTAATGGTGGTACTGGAGAAAACACAGAACTATATTCATAATTCCAATATCAATGATAATAACACTTATATTACATTAAAGAGGGTTGATGAATGGAGTGCACCTGAACATAATTCTAAACCTTACCTATCCATTCCTGAATTTCGTGATGATGAAACAGGTACAACGGGCGACATTTCATTTGATGTAGGCTGGTCTAAGTCAGAGCCAGAATTCCAGACACTGGAATCTGACTCATTAATAATGGACTCCTCAGAAGTGCTTGTAAATCAATAAATAATGTTAAATTTGGACATATTCAGAATACAAAAAGTTTGCATAGAGCTAATGTAAACACAAAAAGAGGCTTCCATCACGATGAGTACACAATTTTTGCAAAATCCAACTTTAAGACAAATATAAAGACATTAACAAATTATGACAAACTGGAAAAACTCTCTCGCCTTGTGCTTCCACCTCGCCTCTGACATCCACGTCCACATCTCTGACCTCCTTGTCTCCGACTGCCATGTTCACCTCCTTGTCCACAAATCTTACCTCCACATTCTTCTTGTTTACGACTCCGACGTCCACATCCACGAATCTGACCTCCACGTACACGAACCTGGCCTCTACATCCACTATTCTGACCTCCACGTCCACGATTCTGATCCTCCCCTTCACTTCCTTGTCCATTGATCTGATATCCACTCTCCTCCACGTCTGCCAATCTGACCTCCACTTCCACATCCTCTTTATAGATTTGCAACAATCCATGGTCCTGTGATTTCATGATTTTCACAAGCCCCTTCACCTAGGCAACCACCACAGAAGCAACTCCTCAACCGCTATGAAACTACAAAGGGCTGAACTGATTGGACAAAATGATACTTTCTGGTATCAATTGCTTTACGTCTGTTCTCTCTTGTGAATTTCTATTTACATCAGCCTTTTTCATATAGAAAAATCTTCTTCTTGTATGAACATGATCTGACTCTTGTTCTTTTGGCCTTGTC